TATGGTTGACCAGTATGGTCTGCAAGTTTTTTACGAGTCGTAGGTCCAAACCGTAAGGTCTGTCCAACAGTTATTTCAAAGGGTAGTTGAGTATTTTTCTATGCATCTAATAGATATACTATGTCATTTGCCTATAAAAATGAGACCCTATAATTGATTTTATTCCTAAGAAACTATCCATTCCCTTTTATTCGCTGAAATCCCCAAAATTTTCTCTCTAGGTTTCTCCAAAGCTCATAAGGGATTCTAGGGTTCTTTAAGATTTGAAGTCTCCAATTAATCCTTTGTCATGGGCTTCGATATAAACGTACGTGGTAGTTCATCAATGGGTTCTATTCATCCATTGAGTCTCAAAGATCTCTCAAATTCTCTAATTCAATTTCCTTATATGGTTAGGTTTTTATTCAATTCTTCATGGGTTCTAATGGTGTTGATCAATTGTTTGATTTTGATGTCATTATGATTGTTTTGACTAAATTACATGCTTTTCAATTCATTTCAGATGAACTCATGCACGATACATGATTTTGACTATGAACACTAGAAGGGTGTGAATTTATTATGGAGTTTTAAAACTATGAGCGATGTTTACATGAAAGATATGCAAGATTTATAGAACCGAATGTTTTATGATCTAGGTTGCTTTAAGATCAACATCAATTAGATTGTGAAAGATTTTCGTATATTAAGTGATTATGATTTTGTAAAAGGGTTTTTCACACATGGATGATTCATGATTTAAAGAGCTATTTTTTAATGTTCAAGCTTAGATCAGTAATGTAATTGTCCTTTTCCATATATGATGACATGCTTATGTTTATGACTATTCTAGTGGTATTTTTACTTAGAATCGAGGGGATATCAATATGGAGGTTCTCCCATATATAGAGGTCGAGTCTCTAGTAGCAATCTCCTAATACCTTACTATGTTCCCCCGCATGTTGCATTAAGTGACATAGCTAGTGTATTTACCTAAGCTAGAAGTCAAGGTCCTTGCCTTTGGAAGTAAAGACATCTCTTTTAGTTGTGGGAGAAAGACACCAAATATCACATTACAGTTCACATGGTCTATGAAGGTTAAGAATAAATATACCACAAAATGAACTAAGTTGTTCTTAAGTATTTTATGAAGCTCTCTTTATGGTTTAAAGATGCATAGATCATGTTCAAGTTTATGATATTTCTATAGAAAGGTTTTTCATTGTTTTATCTTTGTTATGCATATCATGTTTCATATTTTATGCATATACCATATACTTAGTATATTTCATGTACTAACACGTACTTGTGCCGATATTGCTTCACTAATGTAGGGTGTGACACTTTTTCTCCACTTTCTCTCGTGGCTAGTTCATTGCTCTAAAAATTTGAAGACTTGGTGAGTCTTCATATTCTGAGGACCATGTCACCTTTATTGCTTTCATATGCCACATTTAATTTTTGGATATTTTATGTGGTGTATGGTTACGTCTTTACCACTCCCTTAATGTACTATACGGATTGTCAGTACTATGATAGATTTTCACTTATAAATGTAAACTCGTTTATTCATATGGGATTTCCTACTTTTGTCTATAACATTGTGTATATATATGTCAAGTGGCTTGTGTAGGTCCTATTGGGGTCTTATATGCCATACCACATCTGGTGTACTTTGGGTCATGACAAAACTTGGTATTCAAGGTTTTAGAAAAGTTCCTAGGATGTCTGATAAGTCACTTTGCATAAAGTCTTAATCATAAGTGTGTAATGCATCCGATTTATGAATATTCTTCTCTATAAGATTCTTCTCCTAAATCATGTTCAGTCTGTTTCAAGATATCACCCCTCGTAGAGATTATGTAAGAAGCAATGTTTTGGGGAGAATGTGGAGCTCGAGGTTCTTTAGTTCTGTTGACCCTTTTGGCCGAGCAAGTGAATCCTGCTGAATCCTAAGCTAATTTCAAAGTATTGTCTCAAGCCATAATGACCCAAACTAATAGAGAGGTCATTGCTCTTATGAACCCAAAAGTGGGTACGGTGGTGACAAGGATAAAAGAAGTCACTAATATGAATCCTATGGAGTTTCATGGGTTTAGATTAGGATCCTTACGAGTTCACTGATGAGGTATATAATATAGTGGGAACTATGATATTGTTTACAGTTGAGAAAGCAGAATAGGTCTAATCAACTCAATGGTGTTTCTTAAGTGTGATTTGAACAATGAAAAAGTGAGAGGATGGTTGATATGAGTCCTCTTGATTGTGAGAAATTCAAAGGAGCATTTTTTCATTTCTCTCCTCTTGAAATGAGAGAAGCGAAAGTATTTTGAGTTCATCAACCTTCAAAAGGAAATATGAGTGTGAAGGAGTATGCTTTGAAGTTTACTCAATTATCTAAGTATTTTCCAAGTATGGTTGCCAACTCTAGGGCAAGAATGAGTAAGTTCATGTCGGGTGTGTCTAATATGGTCATTAAAATGTCGTACTGCCATGTTGATTAAAGATATAAATATCTCCCATTTGATGATACATGCCCAATAAATTGAAGAGGAGAAGCTCAAGAATGGGAAAAAGGGTCCAAGAGGGCAAGGGTTGGTGATGGTGATTATTCTCATTTTATGTCTAGTAGATAAGGGTGTGCTCCATTCTGGAAAAATTTTTTTGGTCAAGGTTATTCGAATGTTCCGGCTCCTAATTTCAACAAAAGATAGGGGGTCTAACCCTTAACCTGAAAGAAGAAATGGTTGAAATGGATCTTCTATTCTCTCTTGCACTAGGTGTAGTAAGAAGCATGAGGACAAGTGTTTGGCCGGTATAGATGGTTGCTTAAATGTGGAAAAATAGTGACAACATGAGAGATTGTACATTTCTTGCTACAAAGGAAAGGGGTGTAGGAAATTTCAATCTAGTGGCTATGGTTTGGGTGCTCCAAAGCATAATAAATTTATGCTCTTCAGGCTCAACAAGATCGCGAGTATTCTCAAGATATAGTGAACAACATATTGAAAATCTTTCATTTCGATGTGCATGTTTTACTTGATCTGGGTGCTACCTTACCGTTTATTACTCCTTATGTGTCCATGTGATTTGATCTTTGTTCCGAAGTCCGTTCTAATCTCTTTCATTTCTCTACTCTCGTTGGTGATTCTATAGTGTCTAAGAGAGTCCACTGAAGTTGTCCTATTAGTATTTCTCACAAAGTCACTCATTTTAATCTTATAAATCTTGATAATTTAGATTTTAATGTTATTCCTGGGATGGATTGACTTCATTCAGCTTATGCTTCCATAGATTGAAGAAACGATTGGTCACTTTCAAGATTCTGAATGAACCTATCATGTCATGGCAAGGGAGAAATATTGTATTCTTAAAGGTCAATTTATATCTTGCCTAAAGGCTAGAAAGATGATTTCTAAGGTTTGCATTTATCATCTTGTTAGGTTTAGGGATAAGGATTCCAGAACCCTACTCGTGATACAGTTCCAATAGTAAATAAGTTTTTTAAAGTGTTTATCGATGATCATCCTAGCATTCCTCACGAAAGGGAAATCTCCCAGATGCGTAGCCTATTTCTATTCATCCTTATCATATGGACCCAAAAAACTTAAGGAGTTAAAGGACCAATCAAAAGATATGTTGGATAAGAGTTTTATTAGATTGAGTATCTTTCTATGGGGTACTCCAGTGTTGTTTGTTCGAAAGAAGGATGAATCTCTCAAAATGTGTGTTGATTATAGACAATTGAATAAGATTACTATTAAGAATAAGTATCATATTCCAAGAATAGATTATATTTGTGTTCAACTCCAAAGAGCGAGTTAGTTCTACAAGATTGAACTCCGGTTGGGTTATCACCAATTGTGGGTGAAGGAGAATGACATTCTGAAGATGATATTTCAAACTTGGTATGGACATTATGAATTTTTGGTAATGTTTTTTTTTGAATAATGCTCCACTAGTGTTCATCGATTTGATAAATAGGGTCTTTAAGAAATATCTTGACATATTTGTCATTGTGTTTACAGATGATATCTTGATTTAATCATAGAGTAAGGAAAACATGTTGATCAAGGCCGTGTTACAAATTTTTAAGGACCATGAGTTGTTTGATAAGTTTAGCAAGTGTGAGTTTTGGTTAAAGTTTGTTGCTTTTATTGGTTGTATTGTCTCTGGCGAAGCTGTTTAAGTCAATCCTAAGAAAACCAAGCAAGTTTAGAATTGTCCTACACCATTGTCTGCGTCATACATATAGAGTTCCTTAGATTTTTCCGGTTACTATAGAAGGTTTATGGAAGAATTTCCCTCTACTGATTCATTTTTGCCAAAGGATGTATTCACTCAAAAGGATTTAAATCTTTGCCAAAGGATATGGCTCGAGTTGTTGAAGAATTATGACATGAGTGTCCCATATCATCTCTAAAAAGTGATTATGGTAAGGAATAGGGCCTTTAAGCAATATCTCGACATGTTTGTCATTGTGTTTATAGATGATATCTTGATATACTCATGGAGTGAGAAAAACATGTCGATTAGGGTCATGTTACAATTTTTTAAGGACCATGAGTTGTATGCTAAGCTTAGGAAGTGTGAGTTTTGGTTGAGGTTTGTTTCTTTTATTGGCCATATGGTCTCCGACGAAGGTGTTTGAGTCGATCCAAAAAAACAAGCCAGGTAAGAATTGTCCTACACCATTGTCTATGTCAAATGTAGAGTTTGTTAGATTTGTACGGTTACTATAGAAGGTTCATGGAAGGATTTTCCTCTACTTATTCACCTTTGGAAATATTAACTCAAAAGAAGGTAAAATTCTTATGGTCGGAAGTTGTGAGAAGAGTTTTCAAGAGTTGAAGGATAGACTCATTTTGACGCCTAATTTGACATTACCAGAAGGATTGAATGGTTTTGTTGTTTATTGTGATGCTTCATGGATTGGTCTTAGTTATATTATGATGTTCATGAGATATTCATTGCGTATGCTTCAAGTTTGTTGAAGATGCATGAAAAGAATTATTCGATTCATGATTGGAGTTAACAACGGTGGTGTTACTTTAAAGATTTGGAGACATTACCTGTATAGTGTTCACGGTTATGTATTCACTGACCATAAGAGCTTAAAGTATGTGTTCACTCAAAAGGATTTAAATCTTTTCCAAAGGATGTGGCTCGAGTTGTTGAAGAATTATGACATGACTGTCCCATATCATCTCAAAAAAGTGAATATGGTAATGAATGCTCTTAGTCCATTTTTGATGGGTAGTGTTGCTCATGTTGAGGATGATAAGAAGGAGTTGGTTCATGATGTGCATAAATTTTTCCGAATGGGTGTTCATTTTGTTGATTCTAATGAAGGTGGTGTACTTGCTCATAATGGTTTGAAATTATCTTTTGCATCAGATATAATGGCTAAGCATGACCTTGATATGATTATGGTTGAATTGAAGAAGTCAATTCCGACAAATCCATCAAGGCTTTTTTCTAATAGGGAGATAGTGCCCCTCGATATCAAGGTCAGTTATGTATTGTGAATATTGATGAGTTGATAAATCATATTCTTATAGAATCTCATAGTTCTCATTATTTCACCCAGAAGCCACCAATATGTATCTTAATGTACGGGAAGTCTATTGGTTGAATCAAATGAAGAAGGATATTGCAAAATTTGTGGCTAAATGTCTGAGTTGTCAATAAGTGGAAGTTCAGCATCAGAAACTGGGTGGTTTGGCTCAAAACATTTGTTTTCTGGCATAGAAGTGGAAATATTTGAATATGGTCTCCATTATAGGCTTAAGTCACACTCGTTGACAGTTTGATTCAATATTGGTTATTGTGGACTGAATGTCGAAATTGGCTCACTTTCTTTACATCCAGACTTCATTCTCCTCAGAAGATTAAGACATGCTTTATCTTCGGGAAATTATAAGTTTTCATGGAGTAACTTTTTCCATTATCTCTGGTTAAGGTACTTAGTTTACATCTCAGTTTTGGAAGTCATTCCAAAAGGGTCTTGGTACTCAAGTGAAAGCCAACACAACTTTCCCACTATCACACTGATGGATAAGCTGATCTTACCTTTCAGACTTTAGGGGATATGTTAAGACTTTGTGTATTAATTTCAAGGCTAATTGATATGATCATTTATCTTTGTTTGGATTTTCTTATAATAATTACTATCATTCTAGCATTAAGATGGAACTATTTGAGACATTTTACAATATAAAGTGTAGGTCTTCTATTGGTTCGTTTGAAGTTGGTGAGGTTGCTTTGATAGGGCCCAAGTTGGTGCATGATACTATAGAAAATGGCTCAAAGTCGATAAGAGTCTTATTGTGATGATAGAAGTACATATTCAAATTTAATGTTGATGATTAGATCTACTTGAAAATTTCACCCATGAAGGGTGTAATGAGAATTAGAAATAAAGGGAAGCTTAGTCCCTGATATGTGGGCACATATGAAATTGTGAGGCGTATTTGCAAGGTTTCATATGAACTTAAATTGCATAATGATTTACATTGGTACATATGGTATTCCATATCTCCTTGTTGATGAAGTTTGTTGGAGATCCTACATCATTGTTCCTTTAGAAGGTTTGGGAGTTAAGAAAATTGTTTATATGAAGAGGTCCTGGTTGAGATTTTAGACCGACAAGTTTGGAAGCTGAGAAATTAAGAAGTTGCTTCCATGAAGGTTCTTGGGAGGAATCAATTAGTTTAGGTATCTACTTGGGAGGCAGAAGCCGATATGATATTTCGGTATCCTCAAATCTTTCCTTTCTCTCCTATTCTAGATATAATTATTATATCCCTATGGTTCATTCTATCATATTCATGCGTTATCCTCATGTTTCCATATGCATGCATGTTCATGAAAACTTGATTTTGATGTTATGATTAAGCTTGGAGGATTCTCCATGTTTATGTGCATTATGATGAGATTTCCATTCATGTTGGGTTATTAGTTTCTCTCATACTTTACTGGTGCTACATTGAGTCCCATTGGAGAACACATCTTTCTAAAAGGGGAATATTGTAACACCTCAGATGTTGGAAAGTTGAGTTGGAAAGAAATGTACTAGAAAATGGATAAGGCAATGTTTTACGAGTCCAACCTATGGGCCGTAGGAAGTGAATCGTAGAACCCAAAATTGATTTTGGAAAATTTAGAACATGAAGTTTGACCCACGAATTGACATGAAGAACCTAGGAGTTTTGAAAAGTTGTGTTTTGCATTTGTGGGATGGATTTATAGAATTGGATTAAGACATCAGTCTTATGGAATGGGTCGATAGGGTATAGATTTTTCTACGGGTCAAAGGGTTGTCTCATAGAACGAATCTCGACTTAGTGAAATTTTGATTTAAATAGTTGAGGTCTACTGACCGGGTCTACAAACCATATGATATTTAGGCGGTTTGTAGAAGAGTGCATAGAAAGTTGGTCAATTTTAGGCCTTAGTCACTCAACCTATAGTTGACTAGCAAGGTCTATTGGATTTCCTAAAAGCCATAGGTTCAACCATATTGTGTTTCTGGCTGTTATTTTTATGGGTAGTTGGAACTTTTCATATGCATCTAATACCTATACGACTTTATTTTTCTGATAAAAAAAAGATCTTATAACTGATTTTATTCCTAAGAAACTATCCATACCTTTTATTCCCCTAAATCCCAAAATCTCCTCTCTAGTTTTCTCTCCAAGGCTCATAAGGGATTCTAGGGTTCTTCAAGCTTTCAAGTCTACAATTCCTCCTTTGTCTTGAGATTCAATATCAAGGTATGTGGGAGTTCATCAATGGGTTCCGTTCACCCATTGAGTCTCAAATATTTATCAAATTCTCCAATTCCATTTCCTTAAATTGGTTAGGTTTTCATTTAATTCTTCATGGGTTTTAACAGTGTTGATTCAATCGTTTGATATTAATATATTAATGATTTTTTCAAAAAAATTACATTCTTTCCAATTTATTTCACATGAATCCATGCATGTATCATGCCTCGAGCCTACATCCTGGGCGGAAATGACACTCGAAGACCATTGCTGGTCTCAAACAAACCATTGACCTGCCTTACTTACTGAATGAAATAATTACAGCATTAAGAAAAGAATTAAAATGTTAAACAACTTAAATTTCTCAAACTTAACTCATAATGTTCTAAAAATAAACATTTAACTTAGCCAAAGTGGCAACTCAAATATGAACATAAGCCAATAACAAGATAATGACGAATGAACTAACATCTTACTGACTATCTATGATGCCTCTGAAACTAAGATGGATGTCGAGATAGGACCCCTGATCATCCTAACTAATAAAATATTGAAAAGAACTGAAATCAATAAAAGAAGTCCTCCGGAATGCAAAGAGGCTCACCAACAAACTCTGAACTGCTCATTGGATCAACGATGCACTGGATGCTGATACTAGTTACCCACATTTGTATTGATTGTACGAGTATGCGAGTTGGAATTCTATACACAACATAGGCTTGAAAGGAATCTGAATAACTTACCTGGCTCAACTGAACTCAAAATGATAAACTCATTTTAATATAAAGTAGTTTAAAACAAGTGCAATATAAAAAAGAGCTTTAAAACATGCTTTTCAGCTCTGTGTATTTAAAAATACAATAATAAGTCTCTATGTATGCAAATATACAATATGAATTCTGTTTGTATATGAAAAAACAAATATATCTAATGTATATAAAAGTACAAATAATATGGTAGGAGTTTCTCTAACCAACAACCATCACTTAAGAGCTACAGTGATGATACAACACTTAACCTCACGCTGCCAAGTACTATCCTATACCATGCCAAGGGTGTAGGACCTAACTCGCTAAGTGGATCCACTTGTCTATGCTAAATAACATTAAAGGATTCATCTAAAAAGTAGGACCCTTTTCTAAGCATGATGACTACATTGTTTATGGGGGTTGTGAGTTCTATGAACGCTCCCCTATATTGGTGCTCAGTACAAATCCCATAGTATGATACTAGTGCTTTATGTTTGAAAACATACTTATTTCTGTGATTTGAGATAATTTCTCAAAAACTTAGCTCAATGGCTATCTTGGAAATCTCAGCTTCCTCTATTATTTAATTGTGAAAGAATTTACTCTATACTAAAAAAGTAGCTCAAATGCTCTAGACTGAAAAACTAGCTCAAAGGCTCACTACTCGAAAAATTAGCTTAAAGGCTCTTTACTGAAAAACTAGCTCAAAGACTCTTTATTGAATAATTAGCTCAAATGCTCTTTTTGAAATCTTAGTTTCCGTTCTTCTTTAAATGTGAAAACATTTTTAACTCTTTTGGTAATACATAGTCCCCATATACTTTGAAGTAAAGAACTTCAACTTTACTGTTTACTGAACTCAAAACTTAAGCTTGAAAACAAAGTTAAAACATTGGTAAAGGAATTTTGAAGACTTTATGAACTTCTCTTAACTTGACTCTTAACTTCTCTTGACTTGACTTTTAACCGATCCTTGAATTACATTATGGATTCGAGGATTGACATTGTGATAGCAAAGGTCTCATCATGTTTAGGAATGATTTTGAATAACTAAACAAGAGAAAAGTTACGAAATGATCGTCTTGTAACAACTCCGCGACGCGGAGATGTTTTAAAGAATTCCTCCCAAATTTTAATTCTTAGACTGAGGAGTATGCGTCTTAACCACAACACATAGCAACTCTTTTCTCACTGGGGGAGCAAGTCTGCGACACGGACCTACGTGCCAGATTGCGCTTAACTTTTTCTTTCTTCATTTTACAATCCCAATTTGCTTAATCTCGAATTTTTTTCTGAAATTCATTTTAGATACTAGTACCCAACATATGTACTCAAGAACCTGACTCAATATAACTCTAAAACTCAACGTAAAGATCTTGAAAACTCCACAATTCAGCCCAATTCAAGAACAACATTAATTCATGAATACATGTCAAGAACATCAAATTTCAAACTCTTTTAGGACGAACTGTGCTAAGCTAAATATGTTTGGCGCGTGGGTGAATGAACTCAATGCTATGAAAGACTAATATACCTTGCAGGATCAATTCCTTGGCAAATCCACAACCAAAATCGAACGTTCGTGGCGAATTCTTGTTTTTCCTCTTCCTCGTTCTTTTCTTATCTCTTTTCTCCAAGCCTTAGCATATTTTGGTAAAAGCATAACTGGTATAATTCTGATTTAGACATTAATTGATTACCAAAAATGAATAAAATAAAAAGGAAAGGAAAAGACCAAACTACCCTTCTAAAAGTAAGATGGGACTTTCCTTATTCCAATAGTCCAACTTCCAAAAGGCATAATTTACTCATACGAACTCGAAATCGAGCAAACTCAGAAGTGTTGGAAAGATTATTCCAAGATCTTTCTAACTGTATCTCAAAGTACACCCAGCGCATCATGCTAGGAGTTATGATCGCTTGAAGTTGATCAAAAGTTCACTTTTTCTAAAATAAGATAATTTCCAGATTTTTAATTATTTCCAAAAATGACTATTTCTAGTTCTTAGA